AGCCTTACAAAAAAAATGGACGAAGGCATAGTCTTCGCCAAAAAAAATCCGATAGGCTATGCAGATTACCCACTATAATCATCATGCGCATTTTTAAAAAAATCGAAACAAACCTGTTTTTTAGTCACATCGCTAACTTCCACAACTTAAGGCCACGTTAAGAGTAGAACCACGATTTTGATCTGATATGTAATTAACTTTAAGCCTATCTTTTAAAAAAAAATCATATTAAAATAATATAATATTTTATAAGATGAACTCAAATTCGCGTACAATTTCATTTCTCTAAAAAAAGTTAATTTTTTTATTAGAAAATAATAGGAAAAATAAATATTTTTTTAGAAGGGGAGGGGGGGGGGGAGTAATTTTAAAATATAAATTATCATATATTATTATTTTTTTAGATAATAATGGCTTTAAATATTCGGTTTTAAAATATTCGGTCCGGCCGGTTATTTTTAAAATTCTTGACCCGACCCGGGTAATTTTTAAAAATATATGGCCTATGTATACAAAGCTCTATAATATGATTTTCCAATGTTTATCAAATTAACTCATATATTTTTACATACCTTGTTTAGTATAGGCCTGAAGGACTCTCTCAGTAATAGTTATCTCTATCTAGTTAGGTAGAAATTAAGCGATAAAAAAAAGAATAGCTTTGAAATTGATTTATATTTTAATACGTAAAAGTAAATATTATTTAAAATTATGTGTTTTATTTACTCAACGTCAACTTTATATTACGTATTTTACAAGGAAATATTTCATCATATCTTTTCCAAGAAAATAATTATTATACAAAGGGTAACGATAAAATATGTTCGAATATATTTACAATATATTTTTACCTTATAATTTTTCAAGCTTATACTTTACCTTAAGGGGATTCGTTTAAATGCAATAAATCTGGTAAAAGCTAAACTTCCATCATAAATTGCAAACTTCTCGATAATAAAAGAAAGTTAAAGGACACAAATATAAATTTGATATAATCTGATAAGGGCAACCCAGCTGTTATTATAGGTAGGATTGGTATCCCGTCTTTACAGAGAATCTTTTATAGAGAATGCAAATATAGAGAAACTTTTATAGAGAAAACAATGGTAGAGATTGTCGTTATAAAAATATTGTTTATAGAGAAGGATTTTATAGAGAATGATTTTATAGAGAATTATTTTATAGAGAATTATAGAAAAACTTTTAAAGAGAAAACAATTATAAAGAATGTCGTTTATAGAGAATCTCATTTATAGAGAATGATTTTGTAGAGAATCTCCCTGATGGGATCTCTCAAATCCCATGGAGGAGAGGCCAACTTTTGGTATGGGACTATTCCTGTATTGACCCCTTGGCTGACCAGAAGGAACAACTTAAAATTTCTAAATACACAGAAATAATAAACGATCATTGCTTCATCCCAATCATATCAACCACTCTTGGCACCTTCGGCAAATTCGCCTTAGCATTTTTCAAAAACTTAGGATCACAAATCAGCAAACTCTCAGAAGAACCTCGAGAGGGTTTTTTTCTTCGTCAACGATTATCCATAGCTATTCACATAGCTAATTATATCAGTTTCAATGGTAGCCTTCTAGCCAAAGAGCTATCATAGACAACGCTTACGTCCCTTTTTCATTTTTGTTTACCTGCGTCACACCATCTCCGTTCTTTTTTTTAAATAGTATTATTATATATTTTTCAAACATTTTTAAATATATTAAAATTTATTATAATGAAAATTTAAATTATTATAGAGAATGATTTTATAGAGAATTTATTTTATAGAGAAACTTTTATAGAGAAAACAATTATAGAGAATGTCGTTTATAGAGAATCTCAATTATAGAGAATGATTTTATAGAGAATCTCGTTTATAGAGAATGATTTTATAGAGAATTACTTTATAGAGAAACTTTTAAAGAGAAAACAATTATATAGAATGTCGTTTATAGAGAATTACAGATAAATATTTTATAGAGAATATTTTACAGAGAACTGTTTTAGAGAGAAGGATTTTATAGAGAATAATTTTATAGAATTTTATAGAGAATGATTTTATAGAAAATGAATTAAGAATTATTTTAGAAATAAATTTTCTCAAAAAAACAAGCGATGCCGTCATATAAATCGGAACCCTTGAATAAAAGGGAAAAAATAACCTTAAAACAATTATTCACGTTCCTGATTTGTATTGCATATGAATAATTATGATAATATTTTTGAGTTTCCTGTTGTTATTTTTTTTAGAATACGCTGAACAATTAGAAGTAGTAATGCTATTATGAATTTTTGAATTATATCCGTTATTTTTTAAAAAAATACTAACTTTTATTTATTCTTTGTTCAAATGATTGTTCAAATGATGTAATTTAGCTATATTATTTTCACGGAATTATAGAAAGAGTTCCATAATGTTATAATTAGTTTAATCAGATATCCCATTATTTCCTTAAAAATGGCTCCACATTTTGGGTAAAAATATTTGAGTTGGTGCACAATTGATACTTATAAAGAGTTACCCTTAGTTTTCTTTATTAAAAGTTTCATATTGGTTAGGCAATTCTTCTTCATCTGAAGAAAATGTACAATTGACCTAATATTCTTTATAAAATAAATTATAATATTAATAAGAATATAAATTTACATACATTGATTTCAAAAATATTAATTAGATTAACAATCTTGACGGAAAATTTAACTACAAAAATTCTAAAAATGAAAGAATTTGGTGGTTGATGTGAATTAAAAACTCTACTTAAAATATTTACGAAATTTAAAAATAAATAATATAATCAAATATGTTTTTTTTCATGATTTGAAGTAACAAGTAACTTTTGGGTGTTATCGTTACTCGCGTTACCCCTAAAAGAAGGTTACGAATGGCGTCCCTTTCCTTCAAAAAGTAACGGCGTTAGTAACGACGATATTTTTTTGACGTTACTTTATAGAACTCGAAATTTACATACATTCGTGATCACCATTAAATTTACAGTCTAATGTACTTTCAGAAAATAATTAAAAAAAGTTAATTAATTTTTTAAAAATAGAATCTTTGAATTTCAGATTAAATAACATTTTAGTTATAAGTATAAGCAGGCACGTGTGCTTTGGGGAGGAAAGACAGAAGGGGGGGGGGCAATATTCTTCCCAAACTCCCTCTAGTTTATTTGTCATAAATTCGCAATATATGATACGTATAGAAAAGAAATGACATCGAGAACAAATTTTTTCATAAAATATTCATTTATTTTTGGATTAAATTTTTGATTGTTATTTTTGTTTGATAGCGTGGATATTTGATTTGAATTTATGATAATTGTTGACGATATGTACTTTGATGAGATTAAAAAAATTAAATTGGAAAATTGTCACAATAAATTTAATTAAACAAAAATAGTAAACAAAGTAATGGTGCCTTCAAGATAAAAATCATATAAATCAAAGATTAACAGGTTTAACTAAATTCAAACACCTAGGTGTGATGAATGACAATATAGGAAATATTAATGATTTAGTGATAGGAGTAGAAAAGGAAATATGGTGGCATAATAGCTCAAATTACTATATGGTCAAAAAAATTTTTTTGAACTTCACAATAATTTTTTTGCTTAATTTTGGGCGAAAAAAATCGCAAATAAAATAATAGAAACAGTATAACAAAACAATAACGATATATCTCTTTTTAGTAAAAATATATTAAATTATCAATTTTAATAACATATTCTTATTTAATTTCATATATAAGTTAAAAATATTAAGTCATATATGTTTATTTTGATAATAACAAAATATCATTAACCAATAAATAATAAAAATACAAATAAAATTAAGGTAAATAAATAATTTAATAAACGTAAATAAATAATAAGAAAGGATAGACTAGTCATATCTTACGGAACTGATGGACTTTAGCCTATCAGAATTAATCGGCTCAGGCTTAGCCTTACCCAAAAAACGGCATAGGACCTTAGCCGAAAGAAATCGGCTAAGGTTTAGCTTTAAACAAAAAAAACACAGCTAAGACTTAGCTTTACCCAAAATAAATCAGCTAAGGAGCCTTAGACAAAAAAAATAGACTTATTTAGTCTCCTCCTTTAATATCCACTAAAGTTTTGTCTTAGCCAAAAAATTGGCTAGGCTAAGCAGAATATCCACTAAAATTACAGATTTTTAAAAATCAAACGGGGTTGGGTTGTATCTTAAGTTATTTAAACCTGATAATTAGTAGCATCGCTAACTTCCGTAACTTATGTTAAATTTTTAGCGATTAATTAAGCATATCTTGTTTTTAAAAATAATCTCAAGTTAATTAGGAAAAAAAAATAATATTTTTTTAGAGGGGGTTTTAAAAAAGCAATTTCAAAATATAAATTAGCATTAAAGTTTTAAAATAGTAAGAATGTTAATTGATATTTTATATTAGAATTGACTGACAAAGATAATAAATATTTCAGAGATGAAAAAAATATACCAATTAAAAATATATAAGTATCAATAAGACACCTGAAAAAATTTATGAATATATTTTTTATTTTTAAATTTTTATCGTAATAAGTTTTAAATATTCGTTAGAATATTTGGCCAGGCCTGGATATTTGTAAAATTTTGGGCCCGGCCCGGATAATTTTTTTTAAAAATATATATATTTTTTTCCCGGTCATGGATTACTTTATTAATATTTACTATGAATATAAACTCTATAATATGATCCAATGTTTATCAAATTATGGATATAATTTTTTTTTAAGTTTTCAAACTCAGATATTTTTAAATACCTTGTTTAATATAGGCTTGAAGGTCTCTATCTCTAGTAGTTATTAAGTTATCTCTATCTAGTTAGATATAAATTAAGCGATAAAAAAAACCTATGCAATTGATATATATTTTAATACGCAAAAGTAAATATTATTTAAAATTATGCATTTTATTTACTCAACCTTATATTACGCATTTTAAGAGAAAATATTTTATCATATCATTTCTAAGAAAATGCTTATTATACAAAGAATAATAACTATAAAATATTTTCATAATACATTTCAATATATTTTTGAAATATTTTATTTTAAAAATTAATTTTACCTTATAATTTTTCAATTGATTTACAATTAAATCTTCCAACGAATAATGGTAAAAAACAATTTATACAATATATTCCTAGGCTTAATGTGCTTTTCTTTAATGGATTCTCAACCTGCAGGTAAAACGTCTTTATATTTAATAAATATATATATATTTTTTTTAAATAAATAAATTTATTATAAATAAAACAAAATAAAATGAAACTTTAAAAATTTTAAATATAATGAATATTAATTGTTAATGTGATGATGCATCAGAATCCATGTGCGAGCCCATTGAAGTAAAAGAACAATCAATTCATGGTGCAAAAAATTTCAGACTTAGAATTACAAAAAAGAATGCCACGAATTATAATTTAACAATAACATTATTGCCTCCATCAACGAATGACTACGAAGTCTTAAATTACGGTTATAATTGGTTGTATTTAAATTCTAATGAAATTTTTGCCCATTTTATCAACAAGGACGGACAAGATACCAATATGACCAAGGTTTTTTTAAAATAAAATTAACCTATCCTATACAAAATATTAAATTATGGGTTTATTTACTAAGGCTGCTTTGTGAAAGCTAAATAATTATTACAATTTATTGCATAGATGAAAAAAAAACTTCCTCAATTATACAAGTTTTGCCTCAAATTTTTATTAGTTAATATCAGAACTTATAACCAAAATTTTTGATAAACTATTTTTAAAATTGGTGTCTAAATAGCTTGTTCCTATAAAAATATGTTTCCCTCACCCAAAATTCAATATGATGGGCTATCTCCAACTAGTGTTGTTAAACGGCTCGTTTTGAGCCTATCTTTAAAAACGGCTAACTCAATATTTTAGCCAGAAAAATATAGCCTAAGCCTTGAGATTTCGATAATATATGAATGGACCTTTGTTCCTTCTATGAGCAAAATCTTGAGGCTTGCGTAATATTTTTCTAGGTGAAGTATTGAGTTAGCCGTTTTTAAAAACCGGCTCAAAACGAGCCGTTTAACAACACTATCTCCAACTTCCTGAATTTGATAAATATAAACTAGTCACCTGATCTGCTTTATAAATTCCTAAATTAGCTTTATCCCAACAATAAATTGTTTCAGTTTTTTTATTGCTTTTCTCACTCATATGAACAACTATATGCAATGTGCCGAGAATAAGAAACATTTAATTTTATTTTTTATACATTGATAGTCTCTTTGAGACTTTTGCAGATATTTCCGTCCGATAGAGCTCCTTGATAATTTTAAAGTCACATTTTTTCTTTCGAACTTATTTTCTCATTGTACCGATTAAGTTCTTTACATTTTGCAATTCTTTGGCTAACTCTAAGTTAAAAACAATGTCATTAGTTTATATTACATCCAAAATTTGTATAACATTCAACAACTTTTATAAATTTTTTTATCCAGTTAAAACTTTTATTTATATAAAGGATATATATATATTAATAAATTTACATATAAAATTATATGAATAAAATATAAAGCATATTTAAACCAAAACAAATATAAATTAAAAATATATTAAATTTAATTTAAAAAAACATATCATAAAATTAAAATATTTTATTTTTTTATTAAAAGGGAAATGAAATTTTTATTAGTTTTCGCCATCTTAGCTATGAATCGTTGAATAAATTTATAATTCAACCGGATTATCTTAAATCTTATTTTTTTGTTTAATTTAAAATAATTTTGAGATTGTGTATAACTTCTTTGTCTTATAATTTTGAATAGATATATTCATCAAAAGGTTAAGTTGATATGATAGTACTTATAGGATGAATTCATTATTAACATAGACCTTTATTTCTCTCAGAAATTCCAAGTATAGGAATTAGTATGAGTGCAGATAAAAATACAGGTTCCGCTCTTGATACCAAAATAATTTCAAACGGGGGATTTTTATATAATGAACCCATTTTGTAATCTCTAAAGAAGTCTTATAGAAATTTCTAATTATATTAATATATATGAAATTGAATATTGCCGCATTTTAAAATGATTAAATGTTATATTTTTTAGAAAATCAAATCATTTTTTTTTGTATTTCGCGTTTAGCTTTATAGTGGAATACTAAATAATAAACTTATCCAATTTTAAATATTTATATTTATATATATATTTTCTTATTTTAATTCAAATAAAATAGAAAAGGGGATTCAATTTTAAGGATTTCGATAAAAGCGTGAAATATTACGTAGAATTTTATATGAACTATAAAAACAATGCAAGTGGCAAAGAATCAATTTATAAAGATTATTCTGCTTGGAAAGTATTCATATGTAATATATATTTTTTCTATTAAATTTATAATTATTTTTTTAATAACATAATAAATGAAAATTATTTTTCCGACATATAAAAAAATGACAATAATTCGGGGACTTTTTAATAAGGAATAAAGTACATTGATAGTAATCATTTTGGGTATTATCTAATATAAATAATTTGATAAGTTTTATTTCTGACAAGTTACTTTAATTTTTAAAGTTGGATTTTTATTGACTTTTAGGGTAGATTTTAATTTTTTTAAAAGTCGTGAATTTTTTTTTAGTTTAAAATATTGGAATACTATTACTAAATTGCAAATACTTGCAAATGCTGATAAAATATATTTATACACTCCATTAATAATGTTCTAATTTATTTTCTTATAATATAAACAAGAAAATAAAATAAAATATAACCGTATACATATTTAATTTAATAAATTTGTTATCTTTTAATAAAATCAAATTAAAAATATTTTGAATAACAAATTAAGAAACCGTTCAGGGTTCGGGGGTCTAGTTTACAGCTCCTAATTTTATCTAAATAAAAATATTTTATAACTAATTACACGAAGTTAGGTAAGGTTAAAAGATTGGCCAGCTTATAAGATTAATATACTTAAAATATGTATTAAAATTACGTTATAAAATTATTATAAAACATAAATATTATTTTATATGATTTTATTAGTTAAAATATATCTGATAATTTAATTTTTAAGACTTATTTATATTATAGGGAAGAGAAATCTCAACTTAATTGAGAGAATATGTAAATAAATTATGCTTACGTCATTTTTCTGTTTAACCAGGAACCTAGAGTTTCATCAAACACATATTGTAATGTAAATTAACAAAGAAAGTGCAAATTTTTATTTTCCGTTCATTTGTTTCTTTATTTGAGTAAATACTAATATATATTAAATATTTTAAATGAGAATCGTTTTAAATTAATGATTAGTTGAAATCTGATCCATAAAAACTGGATCGACACTGCTCGATATTTTGTAAATTCGATACTGGTAATTTAAATTAGTATCCTTTAAAAAAATCATAGCTAAAAAAATGTGGTTTGTTTGAGTGGAATCGCACACGTATTACCAGATTTTTGTAGTATGGAGGGCGACATTTTGGTTAACTTTTTTATGCAATTTTTTTTTATGGGGGGGGGGGGGGTAGCTTTGATCGCAAAATATTTATATTAGGCCCAAGTAGTCTATATGAGACCTAATCATTATCAGAAAAATATATCAACTTATAAATTTTTTTAATAACATATATTGCTATTTGTGGGGGTAAGCGGGGAAGGCGGAGCAGGGAAGGAGCATTCTAGGAAAGAAAAAAAGGTTCAAAGACTAAAATAAGGTCCTAAACAGATGTAAATTTTTCTGAAACCATAGCGATTCCCTTATCAAATAAAAGAGTTGTTTGGTGGAAATATTTTGCAATATAGCTTCCAATTTTGTTTTGCAAAATTTTGCTATCTCCAAGTTAACTATTATGGGAATATATTTTTTTCAAGTTATTAAAAAAATTCAATATAGTTTATATTTTACTAAAAACGAAAGGTTCTAAAAGTTGAAAGGCTCCATGGTTCAAAGGACCACTAATATTGAAAATGAAAATAGTAGGAAAATGATTTGATTTATTGCTTTCATAATAATAAGAAAAATATCGCAAAGGCTGCATGTTTCGAAAGGCTAATAAATAATATTGGAAATAAAAATAACGAAGAAAATGTAATAAAAAAAATCAGAGGTCTCTAGGATTTTAATTTTTTTAAAATAACCAAATATTTTAAATCGTCATTATTAGCTATAAAAATGAAAAATGACTAAAATATATTTAAAAATATTCAGACCGGGCCTAAAAATATAAAACCCGGACTGGGCTCGAAAATATTTTTAAAAAAATACGGGCAGAGCAGTGCATATGCACCTCTGCAGGTTTCGGGGATAAATATTATAATAACATTAAATTAGAATATTAAAAAAATGTAAATATTAGAATCTTTTTAAAAATTTTATTGCTGTTTTAAATTAATTTTTTAAAAATTAAATTTTAAATTCTATTAAATAAATTTTTTAAAAATTAAATTTTAAATTCTATTAAATAAATTTTTTAAAAATTAAATTTTAAATTCTATTAAATTTGGTTATGATTTTGAATGAATATAATTTTAAAACGATGGAATTTTTAAAGTTATATTTTTACTAGAGACCTGCAGATGTTACCTTTTGCAGTCTCAACCAGGATTTTTTAAATAATTTTTATATATTCGGTTTTAAAATATGCTGTCCGCCCCGGATATTTTTTTTTTAAAATTTTAGGCCCGGCCCGTTTCAAATATTTTTTAAAAATGAGTCTCGACTTGGCCTAGGTATATTTTATAAAATTAAGACGAATATAAATTAGCTAAGATGTAGTATAATTCTTATTTCTTCATGTAATATATTAACTAAATCTAGGTAAGGAATCAAAGATTGCAATACCTCTAAAGATGATTATAAAAATATAAATAAGATAACAAAATATATATAGCAAAAAAATAAAATATTTATAAGATTTAAATAAAAGCTATGGTGCATTTTTATAGTATATAAAAAACGAAATATAAAAATTTAAATTAATTGTTACTGCAATGGTGTGCGGATAGTGAGTTTGATCCAATTATAATATATCGTTGAGTAGGACTCAAAACCAATAGCATTTGACATTAAATTAATATTAAATTAAATGCTTAAATTTAGAAATTATTTTGTATAAATACATATTTATATTTTATACCAATTTTTATAAAAAAAAATATTTCCTCTTCCCGAGGCCCACAAAAATCTTTCTAAATGCCCCCATATTTATAAAATCTCTAGTTCCCGTGGAACATTTTCCCAATAGGCTTACTGATTAGTTCGCCTCTGGAAATAGGCAGAAAACTATAGAATAATAGAAAATACAACTGAAAAATATAATTTTCCCAATAAAATATTTTTTAAATATATAACCCTAAAGGGCAAAAATGTAAATACTTATAAAACGATATTTAACACTTAAATAATCATTTTCAAATAAATATATGTATATTATTATATTAAATATTTTTTTTTGGATTACAGATGATGAAGAAGCCAAAGGAATTAAAATCGGTACAAATATATTTTATCCTATGTATTATTACTTTACTGATGAATAGCTAATTATCATTTTTGAATGCTTATATTTTATTTTTCCTAATCTTCGAAATAATTATTAGGGTTTTTTTAAAGGGGCATTTTTTATTGTTGCAAAATAATATTAAGGGAATACCATTTAATTGTATATGCAATAAAGTACTTACTTTTTTTTAATAGTTGATCTCAAGCTTGCACCAGAGATTACAAAAGTATGTGGTACTAATTTGGAAGGAGGATTAAAGGAATTAAATGTAACATGGGTGTCTAACATCAACGAGAATATCACCGGTTTTATAATCGAACTTAACCCTACCCTTGGGAATTCAAAGCGGAGGCAAAGAGTTGCCATAAGAGATGTAAATTACTATATTTGTATATATATATATATTGAGAATTGATAAGAAGTCGTGATTAGTAATGAGCACAATAATTTTTATACCCCTCAAATTCATAAAAATCCTTCGAATTCTTAATATTCATACGGTATTAATTATTTAGTCTTAACCCTTGAAATTTACCTATACATATTTTATAGCTATTCTTAAAAATAAAATTTTTTAAATTATATTTATATACTTTAGCCAAAAGCGACTTCTTGTTTATTGAGTAATGTGACGCTAGACGAAGAATACGAAATATCAATTCGCACTTTACTTAAAAATATTCAAGGCAGCGTAATAAGTGGTTTTAATTACATGTTCGGGAAGGTCTACATTCCTAAAATTTAAAAATAAATTTTTACTATACTATTTTGAATAATCCTATGTTAGAATAAATCAGTTAATTTTTATTATTTTATTTTGGAATTTCATGGTATTTTATTTTGGAATTTTATGGTATTTTATTTTGGAATTTATAAATTGTTTATCAATCAATCAATAAAAATAATTAATTTTTCGCATTATTGGTAATGAATGATTTCATAAATCCCATTCATAATCGATTAAAGCTAATAGGCGCCATAATAGCTTGGATATTATTTCATTCATTTCTATATTAGGTTTGATATAAAAGAAAAACGGAAAACTAATTCATAGCTCATATTTATTTTTTTTAAAGAAAATATCCAAAATTTACGATTATTTTAAAGATTCTTGAATATCTTATGAAAAGGATAACTGTTCATATTCCCAAATTATTAATTTTTATTTATAATTGTCCTTGATCTCATTGTAACATCTGTATTTTTTGAAATACCATGGCCTTTTTCGGGCTAAGACTTTGCCAGATTGGAGTTATCTTTGGATTTAATCAACTGTAACTTAAACGTAAGGTTGTAGTAGGGGGTGGCGTGCCAAGAGTGTCCGCTAATTTTCTAAAAAAATAGGAGGCAAGTCGTGCCCCTTCCATAAAATTTGATTTTTGCTTTCTAATGGTATTTTAGCATATTGTTAATATATTTTATTATGTATAAAATATTTTATCAACAAACTAGAGTATATTAGTTTAATTGTACATTTTTAATTCAAAAAAACTAAGCAAACCATATTTTAATTGGTTCTTAAAAAATTAATATCCTAAATAAAGGAATGTTATAGTCGTTTTGACCAGCCGTTTACAAGATGTAACCCTGCTTCCCCACAATGACTGCATATATCAAGGTGATAATGCAATTATACAATCCATTTACAAGGGATCACATAAACTACGATATTAATAAAATTTGTAAACCTGCCAATTCAGATTGCACACAAAGCTACGGAAAAATATGAAATCATCAAAAATCAATACTGCTAGATATTGTATTTGATGAAATTGTTGGTATATTTATAAGAGCGCAATGATTCAAATATGAGGACTATTTTTGCATTCTAGGTATTCTGCTTAGTTAATAAAACATTTCCAAAGAAATGCAGATAAAATTTGTAAATAATATTAAAGAATTACTATCCAAAATCGCCACCCTGCACATTGTAAAATTATCTTAAATATTTTTAAAATTATTTTAATTGTAATTATAATAATTATATTTATTTATAAAAAATAATTTTTCTATAGGAATTGAAATACAATAAAACAAATATATTTAAAATATTATAAACAAATAATATTACAACAAGGAGCCTTATACAGATTTTTATAAAAATATCTTTAAAATGAAAGAATACAATTTTCTACCTAATGAAAAGAAAAGATTCTTAAATTCTTATATTTTTATAGTAATTTTGGATTTGATGAACAATACCCCAAGGCAGGTCTACATGTACCAGATTATAAATATCCGCGTAATTAATCGCTAAAAGAGAACTATAGAGTTTAAAATATGAATTGTGTTATTTACGCATATTTGAGCGATTAACCAACCCTCATGTTAAGGAAGCAAACGTACAACAGGATATACGATTCAAAATGAAGATAGTTATTTAATATCCGCCATTTTTAATATATGGTCAATCGTAACTGACAAAAATGTAATTGGTTAGAAGTATTTAGGACATAAACATTTGTATAAAAGTATCCCGAACAGATAGACATTGTATAAAAACATTATTGGACAAGAAAACCTGTCAAAAATACCCAAATTTTATAAATTTTCTTAGAAAAATAGGAAAGTTTTTTTTTAAAAAAAAATATTAATTTCTTCAAAACATAACTGAATCTTTACTAAATAATCATATTTGGCTTTTGATAATTGCAGCCGCACACACAGCTAGTCAACACGAACAATTAGTAGCTAAGGATTAGAGCAATTGTAGTGCACGGATACGGAGGTAGGTTTAATATACATTTAAATAATAAAAGGCTAAATAAAATTTGTTGGTTAAATTTTCTATGAACATTTTAAATCTTCTAGTGGTATAATGAGCAAGAGACTAGGTTAAGGTTTCTGAGCTATACCGTGTTACTTTTGATTTCCGGAGTAACTGGGACCTCTTTTTCCGGAGAAAATCAGCACAGCAGTTAGCTTAGAGTTAGAAAGATGGTAGAAACTAAGCACGAGAGTAGAATTCATATATATTATAAACGGGTTTGATAAAATTTAATCATTTTTAGTAACTATAGCACCGATACCATGTAGGTATAATAATATTTAAAAAAAAGACTTATTTCTCATTTCCATAAAACATGAGCATTCCCATAACCTTTCTAATATAGTTAGCAACCCCAATTTTAATCTACACGTTAAAATATGTAAGTAATCGATAAACGTTAACTAGTTCGTTTAAAAAATCGAAAATGGAAGACCGGGGATCTTATGAGCCCAAGGCTCTTGTGAGTTTGCATTTTTCTTCTAGTTGCGTAAGTTGTTCTACTTCCCGTCAGTGACACCAACACTTTCTGAGCGATGGAAGCAGAATACCCCGAAGAGTACCTCCCTCATCTCCGAAAAAACAGTAAATTATATTTTGACACCCTTTTGGCAGTATAGTAGGTAGTAGGAATGGTTAATAAATATTTATATAAAATTGATAAATTAAGGAAAGAAGAAAAATTTTAAAGTAAGCGAATTCCAATCTGAATACATCTCTGAATTATCATCATCAGAAGAGAAGAAGCTAAATAATGTATTAATATAGATATTCTAATAAAATAAATTTACAATTTTCAGAATCTGGCAACGATTCTTTAACCTTCAGGTCAGTGTGTAATAATTACATACCTCGTTTTAGTTATAATACAAATATTTGGAAACTTAGACATTTTCTCAAAAACTTGACTTAAATATAATTGATAAAATTCACAGATATTCCCAATATCATCCTTAACGAATGTCTTTTCCGCCATTTTCTTTAGTGTAAAAAATGATGTTTGATTTAAAAATTTCATCGATTCGTCATTGAATCTTTCTTTAAACTGCATAATGATGAAATCAGGTGCAGCATAGCTAAAAAAAATATTATATTTATTAATGAAGCATATAAACCTCTCCTTTCTGGATTGTAATATTTGAAGTCTAGAACTTTCAAAATCAAAAGTTAGAATTTTTCCTTTCAAAAAATCTTGTCCCTTTGAAAAAACATTCACAAATTGTGTGTTATCAATTATTATCTATTAGAATTAAATAATAATACAATTAAATTATACTTCTCAAATTAATCAGGCAATCTTTTGCCAATTGAATTTGATTTATTGCAAATTCTATTCCTTCGAAATGGTTTGCAATATTGTACAAGCCAAACTTGTTATCAATAATATTTTATCAAAAAAAGGTATTATAAAGTAGAAAATATTTTACAATAGCTTTTAGATAGCTTCTATAAATATAAAATAAACATTTTAAATCTAAACAAACAAGATATATTATTATGTGGTATTCTTCTTGATGACTAAAAATCGTGGCAATTTTGTCAGTACATATCTCTGACATGCTTTGAGCACTACATATCTTTTAGCACTATTGAAATATACGCGAATCTCGTTTAAGTTCCTTAGAACGTTTTTTTCAGTTCTTCTATCGATTGGCATGAACAATGTTTGGAGAATCTATGACAAAAGCGCCAAATAAAGCTGCTTTGAGATCTCAACTCTAATCTGTACTCCTAAGATCCTTCTATTTATGTTTGAAGCCCCATCATAGCTTTGCCCAACTATGAATACGAGAGGTAGATTCATGGAACTAAGTTTGCATGTTATATTTTTTTAAATACCAAGACCAGTCGTGATTTTAATAATATCTTACTAACAAAGCTAATGCTTCTGATTTTTAAGCAATCCCATTCTTCAGTTTTTTGAGTAAGTAAATAATTTGTGGACAGGTTCCGAATATGTAATTAGTTTAATAATGTCTTTAAAACTACTATTTTAAAGCTTTTCTTTATATTGTTAAAATTTAGATTCAATGTATTTTTATGGTCTGTACATTTATCATCTCTTACATCTGTGTATAATTATTAATTAAGCATTTATATATTTTTTTGGTTAATATTTTTGGACATATTTTGAAATTGTAAAAATAATTTTATAAGATAAGAAATCATATGGTTATGGCTGAGTAATGTGCTAAAAAAGTATTCCCATTCAAATTTTTAGAAGAAGTTGCTTCGGACACCCTTTTCCATAGTTGTAAGGCCCACAGCCCCCCCCCCCCCTTGCGGTCGTCATTTAACCTTTTATTCACGCTAGGCCAAAATATAACCCACTTTATGGGGTAACATTTTGTATGGTAATACAAAAAACCACTTTAAAGCCTTTTTAAAATATTTTTCCACTTAGGCCTAAAAATGATTTTTGATATGAAATGAATAATTTATGTAATAATAAATAAATATGACACATTTATTTCAGTTCATGTATTAAGATTCAAATTTTGGGGTAAATCTCCAATTGCTCAATTAAAGATTTATATTAAATCCTAAAAAAATCTTTCATTATTTTCTATCTTCAGTTTAGCTTCAAGAGTTAAAATTAAATATATAAGAGCTTGTGATTGTCTAATTCTTTTAATTTGGGTGAATTAAATTTTTCTCCAGGTCACTATGAAGAATAATTGTTGTACGCAATTATATAATTTACAAATTTTTTAATAGGTCATTCAATCCTTCCTCTGTCTATCAAAGTATATTCATTCTATCATTTTGGTGAGTTAATTTATTAGAAAATTGCTAAAGTATTTTACAGTAAATAATTATATCCTATGTCGAAGAAATAAGTATTTATTTTAAAATATTTCTCTTTTTCTAACTACATAATAAAGTTAATTTTAGTTTTGTCCGCCTCTTTGCTCTCGGTAATTCTAGAATAGGGGTATTTTTTTACTGAGAGGTATTTATTTCCGGGTTACATTTTTTTAGGGTCTCTATGTATGTGACACTTCTGCCATATTACCATTTTATTGATAGTTATACGATTGACCATATATTAATAATA